AACTGAGAAGGGAAAGACGCCAATTGGGCCAGAGGACTAGGAGCTCAGTTTGGGGACCGTTAGGTTTGACATGTCTGTTGGATGCCCAGGTGGATGTTGAATAGGTGTCTGGTGTCTGAGAGAGAAATTCTGGGTGTCTCCAGGGTTTAGATTGTATTTTAAAACTTATGGCTGGATGTGTAAAAGACCAAGCACTGAGCCCTGGGGTGGAGTCCCAATGCTAAGAGTTCAGGGAGCTGAGGAGCAACGGATGACAGCGACAGAGGAGCTGTGGCCAGCAAGCAAGGGGGCAGACCAGGGGCCGTGGTGTCCAGGAGGCCGAGTGAACAAAGCGCTTTGGGAAAGAGAAGACAATCGACAGTCACACGCTGCTGACCGGAGCCGGCGTGAGGCCTGAGACTGGACCACTGGATTCAGCCACACAGAGGCCACGCCTGCCTCCGTGAGAGCTGCTCCGGTGGGACGTGGGGGAGGAACCTGGCCACAGGTTGGGAGAGAGAGGGGAGGAATTGTAGGCAGCGGGGCTAGAAGCCACGCTTCTGAGGAGTTTTGTCGTGCAGGGAAACAGGAAATCAGAAATCGGAACGGTGTCTGGAGAGGGAGCTGGGCTCCTATCTTTGAGTTCCTCCAGAAGCAGCCCCCAAGTGGAAGAGGCTTGTTGGGGATGTTGAGAGAGAATCAGCAAGGTGTGAAGTTGGATGAGGGAGCAGCTGTGCTCCGTGAGGGTGCTTGACCAAGCCAGCTCTCTTTTGGGGTGGCGGTGCTCAATCCTGCGTGGAAGTTTTGGGAATGGGACACATCACTCCAGGATTATCCCACCTGGGGGGGAATGGAGATGTGGTATTTGTATGCCAGCTCCTGTTAGTTGTTGGCTGGAGGCTGTTCCAGGGAGTATTAATTTACCAGCCTGCTATCAGTGGTTGGGGGTCAAAGCTGAGGCAGAGAAAAGAAAGCCCTTGGCTGAAGAACACGTTGCCGACAGGTGGAAGCAGGGCCTATGTGCATGGAATAGGTAAGGACGGAAGTCCAGGCTGGGGGCAGCTCCATCCACTTCAAGCTCAGAGACATGTTTTAAAAAGTGATGGGTGAAATAAAACCATCCATCTTTGTTTTTTTTTTTTGAGACGGAGTCTCACTCTGTTGTCTGGGGTAGAGTGCCGAGGCGTCAGCCTAGCTCACAGCAACCTCAAACTCTTGGGCTCAAGTAGTCCTCCTGCCTCAGCCTCCCGATTAGCTGGGACTACAGGCATGTGCCATAATTTTTCTATATATTTTTAGTTGGCCAATTAATTTGTTTCTATTTTTAGTAGAGACGGGATCTTGCTCTTGCTCAGGCTGGTTTCAAACTCCTGACCTTGAGCAATCCTCCTGCCTCGCCCTTTCAGAGTGCTACAGATTACAGGCGTGAGCCACTGCACCTGGCCCATCCATCCTTGTTGACGGGAATGAGTGTGCGTGTGTGCTTGTGTGTGTGCATGTGTGTGCGTATGTCGGGCATATTGAGGAGAGGGAGGAGAAAATTGAAGAATGCTACAGTCATCTATCACTTAATGATGAAGGTATGTTCTGAGAAATGTGTCATTAAGGGAACATCTCAGAATGACTTACACAAACCCAGATGGCATAGATCCTGCACACCTAGATATATGGTACAGCCAGGGGTGAGGAACCTGTGGCCTTCTAGGTCCTTAAGGTCTGCCTTTTGACTGAATCCAAATTTTACAGAACAAATCCTTTTGTTTTATTAATACAATTTTGTTCATCTTTTGTTTTTATTTTATTTTTAAAATGAATATATTTAAAATACCAAAAAATAAAATGTTTTGACAAAATAATCCTCCCAGATTGATCGTCACAATGGTTTATATCAGTAAACCATCGGGAATAAATTGATGGCTGCTAAGCTCATGCTTTAGTTCTAACTTCCCCCGCCTGACTGGCGCCACCACTGCACGAGGCTGGTTGGTGAGAGTTTATGGGGGTTGAGTACGCCAGTCTGTTATCAGCTTTTGACAACGGTTCACTGTGTTTCTGTTTGAAGTGGGGTTTGTAAATAGTTTCACAGCTCAATAGTATTTTTTAATTCTGTCTGTTTAACAGCCCATTATGCTAAAGAAGGCCAAGGGAATGCTGAAGGAAGAAAACAGATTTTTAAATGAGGATTGGGTGTTGCAATATTATCTTGTTTCTGCTAAAGATGATTCGCTTGCTTTGTAGTACTGCAACATCAACATTAAAAAAATTCAATGCTCATCAGCATTATAACATTCATGAGGACCATAAATATTTTAAATTAGAGGCACAGGCATAAAAGGTTGTATTGCAGAAATTAAAAGATGAAAAGCAACAGCAAAGACAATTCTTTCAAGCAGCAATAAGACCTGGAAATAATGCCACTGAAGCAATTTATAAAGTAGCTTATATACTTAGGAAAAAATGGAAAGCCATTCAGTGGTGTAGAAATTGTGGAAAAATGTATTGTCAAAGTTGTAGGATGTTTAGACCCTGATAACATTTCAGAGTACAAAAACTTCCTATTTCCAGGAGAACCCTAACTGTGATTGGGCAGCATGAATTAGCCTTCAACTTACCAGAACAACTTCATACAATACTTCAAAAGGAAAATATATATTATTCAATTGCTTTGGATGAATCAACTGATACTACTGATTCAGTGCAGGTGTTATATACTTCATTTGGGTCGTAACACAAGATTTTCTTTCCTAAAAGATTTACTTGCTCTGGGCACTCTTGGGAACATGGGAAACAGATAATCTTCAACAACTTTCAAGATAAATGTTGTGAAGTTGGACTGAATTTGGTAAATTTACTGAGTGTATGTACAGATGGTGCAACTTCCATGACGGGAAAACACCAGAGGTTTATTGCACAGATGAATATTAACAGATCCAGCTGTTCTCATTTCTTTCCATTGTATCTTGCATCAGCAAAATCTCTGTGCTAAAGCTACTGTCCAATTCAGCAAATAAGTATTCAATTCTAACTGCATCTTTGGGTCTTCATTTCTTAATGAAGGATCTTGTGCCACATAAAACTTGTGTTAAATAAACTTGTATGCTTTTCTCCTGTTGATCTGTCTTATGTCAATTTAATTTTCAGGCCCAGCTGAAAAACCCTATGAGGGTAGAGGGAAGATTTTGCTTCTCTTACATAATGGCAAGTATAGGGGAGGAGATGGCCTCAGTCCTGATAGTAACAAGTCACATGGCTTCCCTTCTCTCCATCTCCTGCCTTTGCTTACTCAAACTCTTGCCTCTATTCCTTCTAATTTTTCCACTGGCAGGCACAGTTTTTGTCTAGGACACATTTTTAAGTCCTCAGAACTGATAAAAAGCTTCTTAGTTGACAGATAAAATCCCACAGGAAGATTCTGATTGGTTCTAATTGAGTCACTTGCTCATCCTTGGACCAATCACTGTGGCCAGAGTGGTAAGGATTCTATGGTAATCCCAGGAGGACCAAAATGAGTAGGGAAGGTCAGATCTAAGAAACAGAATGCTAGGCAGACAAAAACAACAGATGTCTCCTACATAGTGCACTGATAAAAACCAAGGCTCCTATAACAAGACAAATAACCTTATTGAAAATTGGGGAGAGTACTTGAATAGACATTACTCTAAAGGAATATGAAGATAATCAATAAACATGAAACATGCTCAGTAACACCAGGGAAATGCAAATCAAACCCACGATGAGACACCATTTCATATCCACTAAGATTTGTTTTTAATCTTCTGAATAGCATAGTTTTATTGCATAATATTCCTGTAATTAAAAGTGTTAAACTTTTTAATGTAAACATTCAAAATATTTCATTATTTTACAACTTTTTGCGCATGTCTTCATTTCTCTTTTTATTACACGATCCTTAAAACATTACAATTGTTATAATAAAAATTCAGATAATAACAGGTGTTGGCAAGGATGTGGCGAAATCAGAACTCTGCAGGGTAGGAGTGTAAAATGGAGCAGCCACTTTGAAAAACAGTCTGGCAGTTCTTCAAATGGTTCAGCACAGAGTTACCATAAATATAGTCACGGACACGGGTGATTGATTGCAGTAGTGCAAACATAGCTTACTGCAGGCTCGAACTCTTGGGATCAAGCCGTGGCTTTCGGAAGTGCTAGGATTACAGGTGGGCCACCAAGCCCTGCCCAGATTTCTCTTTTGGAGTGGAGAAAAAAGTTCTCAAATACATTGTGGTGATGGTTACCCAACTTTGTGAATATACTAAAAACCACTGAATAAACACAAGTGAATGAATTATATAGTATACAACTATGTCCTAATAAACAGACAGGCTTCTTCTGTATGTCCTTCCCCGTCCTTTTGGGCCTCTAAGAGATGGAATGCTCCCTTTGAAGCCAAACCAACTGAGATCAGAGCCAATCCTGTTTCTTTCCCTAGCAGTTAACTCCTTCAACAGTATCATGGGGATGATAATACCCACCTGGAAAGGTTGTGATTTTTAAAAATATGCATTAGGGTTAATACACGTGTGTGATCAGAGCGGAGGCTCTGAAACACTACGCACACAGCATGCGTAAGTAATACATGCATGCCAAATTGGGGTCTTTCTTTCAGGAGGTTCTGAAAAGACCGGATCTGGAGGGCTGGTCGTTTCCCTGGTGTCTGCTCACAGCCCCCTTGTCTCTCAGACTCTAGGGCAGTGAGGCAGAGCAGCCTGCTAACCCCGGAGTCAAAGAAAAGTCCTGCATCCTCGGAACCCAGCCAGACAACGCTGCCGTGGGCTAGAGCAGCCACCGCTCCTCTCAGCGCCCGGCACTGTAGTGTGTAATGCCGGGAAATGTAGTGTGTGCAGCCCCGCCCACGCCGTCCCGCCGCTCGCTGGGCGCCGAGGCGACTACAAGTCCCATCAGGCCCCGCGAGGCCTTGCTGGCGGGGCTGTTGGCGGAAGGTGGCCGATGCGGCTCAACGTGCGGCGGGGTTCTCGGCAGGCGGGACCGGGTCGCCGGCACTGGCGTCTGCAGCTTTCCTGAGCACCAGCTGCCCGAGCTAAACACGCCCGCTTTCCACGTGGGCGCCTTTGCGGAGCTGTGGCGTGGCCGGCTGCGCGAGCCGGGGATGTGTCGCCGAGGGAGCCGCCGGCACCCGCGCTGCCCGGGTCGCGGACTGGGACCAGGAGGATGTCGCGGTGGCCCGGGATGTGGGCTGCCCGCTGCCCGCTGCCCGCTGCAGGCGGCGGCCGAGCTGAGGGCGGTGTGCGGGTGAGTCGGGGCCGAGGGGCTCTCGCAGTTTGGGGCCACCCGGGGTGCCGTCTTGCTCCTGATGTTCTTTGGGATTCGGCCCTGGGGGCCTGGGGTAGGAGGATCGCGCTTTCGAAGCTTTCAACCGGCTGGCGCCTTCCTGGAACACCGGGAGGAGTCCCAGGACCCCATGCACAGTTTCTGCGAGTTGGAGTGAAGGAACAGGACAGCTTCATCAAAGGATAGTTTTTCTGTTTTCGAATTTTGCAGGTGTGTGTTAATGAAGAAAAGCAATGGAATCTGGCAGAAAGAAACTTAACCAAGGTAAACATCACCAGTAATACGCGACAGATTAACTTCATGAACCTCTTGATTTGATATACTGAGGACATCATTCTTGTGATGCTCTTGTCAAAAATACAAAGTTTATTCCAATCATTAGGAAACAATAGCCAAACTCAAATTGAAGGACATTGTACAAAATAACTGATTAGAGATCTTTGAATGAGTCAAGATTGGGAAAGACAGGGAGACTTGAGTGGACTAAGGAAATAAAACCAATGCCATGTGGGGTTCTGGGTAGGAATCTGAAACAAAAAAAGACATTAAATTAAAAATTGTATGAAATTTGAAAAATGTCTGTAGCTAATAATATTATGTAAGTGTTAATTTCCTGTTCTTGATCACTTTTCTATGATCATATACGGTGTTAAGTTAACTTAGGGGAAGCTGAATAAGAGACATGAGGAACTCTTTGTACTATTTTTGCCACTTTAAGTATGAAATTAGTTCAAAATAAAAAGTTAAATATTAAAAAAGCCCAATAAAGAATGCTGAACTTTGATTTTTCTTATATTTACAACAAGGTTAGAAAGAAGTTCTTGTAACATTGGGAAGAAACCATTGTGATAGATCCTGTCTGTAGACAAGAAACATTTGATTATGAGATGGTAAGATTCTCATCTTTTTCACCCTTTTCTCATGAAACAGTACACTGTCATTGGCTGAGTGTTAGTGTTGACTGTGTGGTAGTTTGATGTTGGATATGCTTAGTTGGAAACAAGCTAGAGAAACTCCACTGGGACTGGGAACTAGTGAGGAAAAGGGACACACAGAACTAAAGTGACTGCATATTTGCCTCTTTCAGATCTCTGCCTTTCTCTTTGCTTTTAGCTTGGTCCTTCTCTCACTAATAGGCTAAATTTATGCCTTATCATCACCCTATTTCTGGTCTTTTTGTTCTGCTCCTGATTTTGGTTCAACCACATTCTTAATTCTAATCCATTATTTCTTTTGTAAAACCCTAAGAAAAATTTAAGATGATGAGTGTTGGGGAATTAAGAGCTAATAGACATAATGGGTTCATAACCTTCTATGTGCCAGACACTGTACCGGGCACTGAATAATGCATAATGGCATCTGTCATCTCTCCCACTGATTTTATTTTTATTGTGGTAAAATTTATGTAACATAAAACTTACCATTTTAACTATTTTTAAGCGTTATAAGAGACATGAAGCATATTCACAATGCAGTGTAACCATCACTGCTATTTCCAAAACTAAATAATCTTCCTAAACAGGAATTCTGTACCTATTGAGCTATAACTCACCAGTATCCCCTCCTGCAGTCTCTGGTAACCTCTATTTTACTTTGTGTCTGTATGAAGTTACCTATTCTAGATACCTCATATAAGTGGAATCATACAATATTTGTCCTTTTGTGTATGGCTTATTTTACTTAGCATAATGTTTTAAAGGTTCATCCATGTTATAGCATTGGAACTTCATGCCTTTTTATGGCTCAATAGTAGTTTATCATATGGATATAGCATATTTTGTTCATTCATTCATCTGTTGATGGACATTTGGTAGTTTCTACCTTTTGGCTGTCGTGAATAATGCTGCTATTAAAATTGGTGTTCAAGTGTCTGTTTTTAGTTTTTGTATTCAATTATTTGGGGTATATACCTAGGAGTGGAGTTGCTGGGTCATATCATTAATTCTGTTTAAAATTTTGAAGAACCACTAAACTTTTTCATAGCAACTTTTCCCTCAGCAATGCATGATGGTTCTAATTTCTGCATATCCTTGTCAACACTTTCTGTTTTGCTTTTTTTTGTAATGTCCGTCCTACTGGCCATCCTAGTGGGTGTGAAGTGGTATCTCATTGTGGTTTTGATTTGCATTTCCCTAATAACTGATAGTGCTGAACATCTCTTATTTGATTTTTGGCCATTTGTATGTTTTCTTTGAAAAAGGTCTACTTAAGTTTTTTGCTCATTTTTAAATTGGGTTGTTTGTCTCATTGTAAGAGTTCTTTGTATATTCTAATACTAGATCCTTACCATACATATAATTTGAATATTTGAATATTTTGAATAATTTGAATATTTTCTTCCATTCTTTGGGGTTTGTTTACTTTCTTGATAATATCCTTTGATGTACAAAAGTTTCTAAATTTGATGAAGTTCAATTTATCTGTTTTTTTTTTCTTTGTCATCTGTGTTTTGGTGTCATGCTTAAGAAAATGTCAAATCCAGCATCATGAAGATTTTCCCCTATGCTTTCTTTGAAGAGTTTATAGCTTTAGTGTGTAAGTTTAGGTCTTTGATTTATTTTGGGTTAATTTTTACATATGGGTTAATGGTTTGACTTCATTCTTTTGCGTATAGACATCTGTTTTTCCCAGACTGTCCTTTCCCTATTGAGTGGTCTTAGCATGTTTGTCCAAAGTCAATTGACCATATAAGTTCCTCTGTTCTTTTCCATCGGTCTATATATCCTTATCCTAGAACTGCACTGTTTTGATTGCTATGGCTTTGTTGTAAATTTTAAAATCATGAAACGTGAGTCTTCCAAATTTATTCTTTTTTGTTTTGGCTATTCTGGTCTGTCAGAATTCCATATGAATTTTAGGATAAGTTTTTTTTATTTCTGGAAAAAACACCATTGGGATTTTGATGGGAATTGCATGGAATCTGTAGATTACTTGGGGAGTATTGACATTTTAACAGTATTAAGTCGTCTAATCCATGAACAAAAGATGTCTTTCTATTTATTTAGGTCTTTAATCTTTTTTAGCTACCTTTCTCCACCCCATGGCTTACAACTACAGATTTTATTTTTTTATTTCTTTAACTTTTTTTTTTTTTGAATTTTAGAGACAGAGTCTTTATGTTGCCTAGACTGGTCTTAAACTCCTGAGCTCAAGTGATAGTCCCGCCTCAACCTCCCCAGTAGCTGGGACTGCCGGCCCTCACCACTGTGCCCGGCTTGTTTTGTATTTTTGAAGTGTACCAAGCCTTTCACCTCCTTGGTTAAATTTATCCCTAAGTATTTTATTATTTTTGATGCTGTTGCAAATGGAATTATTTTCTTAATATCTTCAGATTGTTCATTGCTAGTGTATAGAAATACAATTTGTTTTTGTATTCTGCATCTTTGCTTAATTTGTTCATTAGCTCTGTTTTTGTGTGTGCGTGTGTTTGGATTCTTTAGGATTTTGTATGCATAAGAGTATGTCCTCTGTAAACAAAGATAACTTAATTTCTTCCTTTCTAGTTTGGTTGGCCTTCCTCTCTCCCTCTTTCCCTCCCGTTCTCCCTCCCTTCTTTTTTTTCTCTTCTTCCTTCCTCTTTCTCTCTCTTTCCCTTCCCTCCCTCCCTTACTCCCTCTGTTCTCTATCTAGAACTTCTAGTACTATGTGGTATAGGAATGGCAAAAGTACACATTCATATCTTGTTGCTGATATTAGGGGAAAAGTTTTCAGTCTTTCCCTGTTGAGTATTATGCCAGCTGTTGGTTTTTCATATATGGCCTTTATCATGTTGAGGAAGTTCCCTTCTGTTCCTAGTTTATTTAGTGTTTTTACCACAAAAGGGTGTTACATTTTGTCAAATGCTTTCTGTATCAATAGAGATATGATCTGCTTTTCCCACATCATTTTATTAGTGTAGTGTATTGCATACATTGATTGATTTGCTATTTTTCTTTTCTTTCCTTTTTTTTTTTTTTTTAAGAGACAGTGTCTTTGTTGTTCTGTTGCCCAGGCTGGAGTACAGTGGCATGAACATAATTCCTGCAACGTTGAACTCCTGATCTCAAGCAATTCTTCTGCTTCTGCCTCCTGAGTAGCTGGTACTACAGGTGCATGCCATCATGCCTGGGTAATTTTATTTATTTGTTTGTTAGTTTTTATAGACAGGATCTTACTATGTTGCAGGCTGGTCTCAGACTCCTGTCCTCAAGTGATCCTTCTGCTTTGGCCCCCAAAGTGCAGGGTTTACAGACCTGAGCCAGCATGCCCAGCCTGATTTGCTAATGTTAAATTACCCATGCATTCCAAAGATAAATCCCACTTGGTTGTGGTGTATAATCCTTTCAATATGGTGCTGAATTTGGTTTCCTAGTATTTTGTTGAGGATTATTGCATTCCTATTCATAAGGGATATTGGTCTGTAGTTTTCTTGTCTTGTGGTGTCTTTGGCTATGGTACCAGGATAATGCTGGCCTCACAGAATGAGTTAGGAAGTGTTCACTCCTTTTCAGACCTTTTGGAAGAGTTTGAAAAACATTAATGTTAATTAATTCCTCTTTAAGTGTTTGGTAGAATTCACCAGTGAAGTCATCTAGTCTTGGGCTTTTCTTTTTTGGGAGGTATTTTATTACTGATTCAATCTCCTTACTTGTTACAGGACTACTTAGGTTTTTTTATTTCTTCTTAAGTCAGTTTTGATAGTTTGTGTGTTTCAAGGAATTTATCCTTTTTATCTAGGTTATCCAGTTTCTTGGCATACAGTAGTTCATAGTTTTTTCTTGTTATCCTTTTTATTTCTGATTTTTTTTTGTAATTTGAGCCTTCTTTTCTTTATTGTAGCAGAAGTTTGTCAAATTTTATGATGTTTTCAAAGGACCAACTTTGTTTTCATTGATTTATTTACATTGTTTTTCTGTTTCATTTATCTCCACTCTAATCTTTATTATTTCATTTTTTCTGCTTTAAGTTTATTCTTCTTTTTAGTACCTTAATGTTTACAGTGATTGGTTGAGATTATTGTTCTTTTTAATTTAGGTATTTATAGCTATAAATTTCCTTCTTATCGTTGCTTTTGCTATATCTCCTAAGTTTCATATGCTGTGTTTTCCTTTTCATTTGTCTCAAAGTATTTTCTTATTTTACTTGTATTTTTTTCTTTGACTCATTGGTTGTTTTAAAAGTGTGTTTGGTTTCCACATATTTGTGAATTTTCCAATTTTCCTTCTGTAGCTGATTTCTACTATCACTCACTTGTGATTAGAAAAGATACTTTTTGTGATTTGGGTTTTTTTTTTTTTTTTTTTTTGAGACAGAGTCTTGCTCTGTTGCCTGGGCTAGAGTGCAGTAGCATCACCCTAGCTTACAGCAACCTCAAACTCCTGGGCTCAGGTGATCCTCCTGCCTCAGCCTCCCAAGTAGCTGGGACTACAGGCATGTGCCACCATGCCCAGCTAATTTTTTGTATTTTTAGTTGCCCAGCTAATTTTTTTTTCTATTTTTAGTAGAGATGGGGGATCCCTCTTGATTGGGCTGGTCTCGAACTCCTGAGCTCAAGCAATCCTCCTGCCTTGGTTTCCCAGACTGCTAAGATTACAGGTGTGAGGTGCCGTATCAAGCCTTGTGATTTTGGTTTTTGTGAATTTAAGATTTGGTGGTCTGTCCTGGAGGATTGGCCATATGCACTTGAGAAGACTCTATATGCAGCTATTGTTGGATGGAGAGTTCTGTATATGTCTGTTAGGTCTAATTGTTTTATACTGCTGTTCACGTCTTCTGTTACCTTGTTAATCTTGTATCTGGTTGTTCTACCCCTCACTGAAAGTGGGATATTAAATTCTCCAACTAGATGGCGCGGCTGTCTGGGCGCGCGGGGCGACGCGGGGCTTCTTGGCGGCCTCCACGCTCGCTGCCACGGTAGCAGATGTTGATCGGTTGACGGCAGAGGAGCGGAAGCAGATTATACACGACCTCAAGCAGCAGGGTGGTCAGTAGCAAGTGAGAGAGATGCCATCTACAAAGAGTTCTCCTTCAAAAATTTTAATCAGGCAATTGGCTTTATATCCCGAGTTGCCCTACCAGCAGAGAAGATGAATCATCACCCAGAATGGTTCAGTGTGTACAGCAAGGTCCAGATAACTCTTACCTCGAATGACTTTGGTGGATTGACCAGAAAAGATGTGAAGTTGGCCAAGTTTATTGAAAAAGCAGCTGCTTCTGTGTGATTTCTCCCCAAATACATGTAAAATCTTATACACTTCTTAGCTGCAATGCATCGTGAAGGCAATGTGCTTAAACAAATTAAGTTGTAAATTGAGTTCACCTTTATATGCTACATTTTATAAAATCAGTATTTAAATACAAAATGATTTAAATTTGAGCCTGAGGTACTTTTCAGTGTATCTAATCGAATGTATAAGATAAGCCAACCCCGGTAATCTTCAGAAAGAGAAATATCATTCTCAAAAACTAGAAGTTGGGATGGGGGAGTATTCACACATTTTGTAATTCAGAAATTCAAACAATTATGGTGACTTTACAAATGCATTATTGTAAGGTATTAGAGAATAGTTGTAAGGTGGAAAAAGAATTAGGAACTCTGCAGATAATGGGTTTTAACATCATATAATAATTCTTATGACACTAAGGTTGATTTGGATAGTACTACATAAATCATCAGATTATAAAAGTCATAAAAATTAAAAAAAACAAATCCTCCAACTATTGTAGAACTGTCATTTCTTTCTTCAATTATATTTTTGCTTCATATATTTTAAAGTTTTATTGTTGGCTGCATATAAGTTTGCAATGTATAGCTGTATACATCTGTATAATACATGCTGGGTGGCAGTTTTTGTCAGTATATGATATACTTTTTTGTCTCTCAGTTACTTTTTTTAAAAAATATTTTAGAAACAGTATCTTGCTGTGTTATCCAGACTGGCCTTCACTCCTGGGCTCAAGTGATCCTCCCATTTCAGCCTCCTGAGTATGTGGGACAACAGACATGCACTACTGCACTTGGTTTTTGTGACTTAATATATTTTGTCTGACAATAATAAAGCTGTTCCAGCTTAGTACTGGTTACTGTTGGCATGGAATATCTTTTGAACTTGTTTGTGTCTTTGTATCTAAAGTGAGTCTTTTGTAGATAGCATAGATGTATCAGATTTTTAAAATACAATTTGCCAATCTGCCTTTTTAATAAGAGAGTTTAATCTATTTATATTTAAAGTAATTACTGATAAGGGTTTTCTTCTTTCATTTAGCTATTTGCATGTCTTATATTTTTTAGTCCTTAATTCCTCCATTACTGCTTTATTTTATATATGCCGTAGTTGATTTTTTTTGTGGTGTACCAGTTTTATTCCCTTCTTCCTTTTCTGTACATATTCTTGGTATTTCCCTAGCAGTGATCTTAGAGATTATAATTCAATCTTATAATAACCTCCCTTTTTTGGTTTTGTTTTTTGAAACAAGGTCTTACTCTGTCACCCAGGCTGGAGTACAATGGCATGATGATAGCTAACTGTTACCTTGAATTCTTGTGGTCAAGCAATCCTCTGACCCCAGCCTCCCAAGTAACTAGGGGTATGGGCATGTGCCACCATGCCTGGTGAATTTTTTTATTTTTTGTAGAGACAGGGTCTCACTATGTTGTCCATGCTAACTTAATTTTAGTAATACAGATAGTCCCCAACTTAGTGGTTCACCTTATGATTTTTTTACTTTATGATGGGTTTATCAGTGTATTAAATGCATTTCAACTTACAATATTTTTGATTCATGATGGGTTTTTTGGGGCATAACCCTACTGTGTAAGTGGAATAACTGTACCAATTTTGTTTCCATACTATATACAAACATTCTGTTCCTACATTTTGTCTCTCCCTTTTTATATTGTTATTGTCACAGATTATATCTTTATAAACTTATAGATACTGTTTAATCCATTTGTTTTGGAATCACACAGGAAAAATAGTACAGTAACATTGTCTTCAATACTTACCTATGTAGTTACCTTTACCAGTATTCTTTATTCTTTTCTTTTTTTTTTTATTTTGACACAGGGTCTCCCTCTATTGCTATGGCTAGAGTACAATGGCATTGTCATAGTTCACTGCAACCTCAAGTCCTGGGCTCAAGTGATCCGTCTGTCTCAGCCTCCCGAGTAGCTGGGACTATAGGCGTACACCACCATGCCCAGCTAATTTTTCCATATTTGTAGAGATGGTGTCTTGCTCTTGCTCAGGCTGGTCTCAAATTTCTGACCTCAAGTGATTATCTTGCCGATGCCTCCCAGACTGCTAGGATTACAGGTGTGAGCCACTGTGCCCTGCTCTTTATTTTTTTTTTTATGGTTTCAAGTTGCAGTCTAGTGTCTTTCATTTCAGCCAGAATTCTCTTTAGCATTTCTTATAGGTCAGGTCTAGTGGTAATGAACTTCCTTAGCTTTTGTTTATCTGAAAATGTTTTAATTCCTCCTTCATTCCTGATTTATAGTTTTGACAGATATAGAATTTTTGACTGATAGTTTTTTCTTTCATGGCTTTAAATATGTCATCCAAAAAATAAAATTTTAAATTAAAAAATAGCTGGTTATGGTAGTACATGCCTATAGTCCTAGCTACATGAGAGGCTGAGGCAGCAAGATCATGTGAGCCCAGGAGTTCGAGGTCAGCCTGGGCTACACAGCGAGACCCATCTCTAAATATGTCAGTCAGTCATCCCACTGGTTTCTAGTCTCCCTGGTTTCTGTTGAGAAATCTGCTGTTAATCTTATTGAGAAACCTTATTTTGTTTAGTAATTTATGGTTTCCTTTAGCTCATTTAACACATTTTTAAAAATTGGTACATAATGATTATACAAATTCCTGGGGTACTCATTTAGCACATTTAAGGCAGTTTAACATCTTTTTTTGTTTGTTTAGTGGGCTTTTATTTATGTGTAAATCTAGCTTTTGCCTGTAGGAACAATTAATTGACATCTTTGACTAGTAATTTCAGTGTGTGGGCTTCCTCAGGCTTGGTTCCTGTTAAATTCCTATTTTCTTATGACTGTGCCATACTTTCCACCTTCATGTGTTTTGTAAGCTTTTGCTGAGAACATTCTGAGTATGTTTTTTCTTGTTGAAGGCTGAGGCTGCCTGTGACTTTTCCAAACTATTTTTGAAGCATGTGTATTACTTTTCGTGTAGTGGTCATTGACATATCTGTTCCATTATCTGTGCAGTCAGTCAATGATCTGACAAAGATTTCCTTAAATATATGGCTCCATAAAAAAACAAAAAAGGATAAATTGTCCTTTCTCAAAATCTTCCAGTAGGTGGTGCTAGGGGAAGCTACTACTGCCTGGAGGGTCAAACCCAAGACAAACATCTGGGCCAGGCACTCAGGGAGTCCTCAGACCAGCCAAAACCCAGAACCTCTGATTTGTGGAGGCCCAGCGTCATTGCTGGTACCAGCCAGCTGCTCCAGGAACTCAAGTTGTGTCTCCTCTGCGGTGGGGCTGAGAAACGTGGGGGTGATGGTTGGTTTACATACACTGCTTGCTTATGAAAGATCAGCAGCCTCTCCCTTCATCAAACACTCCTCTGGTTGTTGTGAGTGTCCCATGTGGTTCCAGAGTTCCAGACTAGTGGATTCCAGTGTTGTCTTTCCAGCTTAATAGTTGTTTCTTTAGAGGGACTGAGCCACAGGGCTTCCCACTCTGCTGTTTTGTGTGACATCGCCCCCGCTTATTTTTAAAACATTCTACATCTTTACTTAACCAGTCCACCCTGGTGGCTCCTATTTTACAGTTAATAAGCATATAAAATGGAATATGATATATTAGAGATATGATGGTGTTGTAAAAAGCACAAGGGATTTAGAGCCAAACAGATCTGTATTTGCATTCTAACTCTGGTGTAAAGTAACTAGAAATGCCAGTGTTATGCCAACATTAGTTGATATTCTTGTTTCATCATCAGTTACTAAGAACTTAGTGCCAACCATCTTATTAGATGCTTTATGTACATATTCTCAGCAAAAGTTTTGTAAAATAAATATTTTCTGGTATTTGGGTTCATTTTTTTCTTTTTGTTACAGAAGAAGAAACCAAAGCTTAGCGATGTTTCCACAATTTTCCTGAAGTAGAATTAGGCATCCAACCCAGGGCTGTCAGACTCAAGCCCTTGCTGAGAGCCCTCGTTCCACACCACCTCTTATCTGAGTTAGTGTCTGATTTCAAGGTCTCTTTCTCTTTCTTCAGGAGTCACTTGCCACAGGAAAAACCTGCAAATCCAGCAGACGTGATTGAAGAAGGGGAGCTTATCCTGTCTGTGGATATCTTGTGCCCCGTTAAATTTTCATAAGGTCAGTAGTAAAACCTTTTGGGTTTCGTGTATAATCTGAGTTGTCAAGGGTTTAGTGATTTGAAGGATCACATTCCTATTCAAAATAAATGCAAGCATATGGTGCCTATCTGACATCTTATTTTTAGAGCCAGCAGTTTGTATTCTTGGTTTCTTTTAATAGGGAATATTGGAAATATGGTCAAATTTCAAACACTGTCTTGATCAATAGGATTACAGTTATAATATTGGAATGTATACCTGATTTCTGCACTAGAAGCAACTAAAAGTATATGTAAATCCACAATAATTCTAATTCTATGAATTCTTGAGCCTTTTTTGCAGAAGAGTTGGCTATTAGAGGAGTGGAGAGTAACCTTTGTTCATGAATTCAGAATGTTTGGGAAGTTACTGAACTAACTAAAGACAGGTCTTCTTTGTTGAAAATATGGAAAGTTAACAAGTCATGGGTATCCACGAATTTCTCAGAAGTCTGTCCTAGCCCAGAGGGAATATAGTCTTGATTCCCTAAATAGATGTGTCATAAAATCTGATGAGGTTTAATTACAATATTACTATACATAAATTACACTGAATAAATAGGCATTTATGAAGCATCTGGAATTTAGTTATACTAATTACCTTGTTTGATTAAGATCTCAAATTACTAATAAGAAAATAAAAGACAAAAACCAAAAAAATGAATCTTTGAGTTTATCACCTGAGGTTAGGGTATACATTGTCTGACTTCAATGAGGTAACTTTTAGGAAATTTTAAGAGACCACGCTGCTGATGGAGTTTTATTCCCAAGGCTCTCAATGCTAACGTCAGTTTGGCAGCATCTTGATTATATATACTTTAGCTTCTACTAGAAAAGTTCTGTTGCCAAGTGTCTTAGTTGTACCGATGGGATTTTAGTTTATGGAGGTAACCAGGTGATGACACAGACAGGCCAATGCCGTTGAAGGAAGATCTTTATTACATTTCTTGGGAGGAGGGGGCATGCCACACAGGGCCATAGAGAAAAGCACTGTTCTTAGCTAGGAGGCTGAAAGGAGAGAGGGGAATGCATAGACCCCAGTTTTTACTGGGGTTTCTGTGGGAAAGTCCAGGTGGGGAGGAGTGAACAATTTAGGACAGGCTAGGTTGAATAATTCCAGCAGGCTTTGGGACATGGGCTCTGTCCCTTGTTGCCTGGTACCTGGTGCCTGGTTGATTTAGTTTGATGGGGTAGCAGGGGAAAGATCAGCTTGGTGTGTGAGACTTAGATAAAGGAGGTGGTTTCAGCGTATGGGCTCTGGATCACAGGGGAGATGGAAATAGTTCTGACTGTTAGTTTGGCCCTATAATTAATGGATGTGAAATAGACAAATACAGAATCTAAGAAAATAAAACCAAGTTATGTGGACAATTTAAATTTAAGAAAATCAGTAACTTAATTTAGATCTGGTGAGACGGGATTTGTAGTTTTGGTTTGCCGTGCTGACATTGGGCAGTCAGAAGCTCACAGAGCTGAGGGATTCAGTGACCTCCAGATTGGCGGAGAATTCAGCAACACTCTTGACCAAGCCCCTGAGCACATCAGCAAAGTAAGATGATTTTCCTCCCATAGCACAAAAGGAAATAATGGTAGGAAGCTAAGGGAATAATGATTACCCTAGCAGGCTCGTAAACATCACAGTAAATGCTTCCTTTTCCCACAGGGTTCCATTAAGTCCTACCCTCTTTCCTTCCCTTATCATCAACTTCTCCAAAGAGGAGGCTCTACTCTGTTTGATTTCCTCATCCTTCATTTATTTCTAAATCATTCTATGGATATTCTTCCTTCCAGGGTAATAGTGGCCACCCGATGGTGTAAACAATTGGCCACTTTCAATTGGCCATTTTCGTACAGCTTGACCTGGCTGTAGCATTTGACTTTGCTGTTCACTTGCTCTTGTTTCAAACTCTGGGAGCTTCAGTCTGTCATAATGGCCCCCAGCAAAAGGTTAGAGCAGACCGAGAGCCTCGGTAGTTCACACCCTTTCTTTTTCTTCACCTTTCACTGCCCGTGGAAGGACCTGTCAGTGGGAGGACCAGTCCCCAGCAGGGAGAGAGCGTATGAAGGTGGTCCCTGTTGGTGTTTCTCAGTGTGGTGCTCTTAAAAGGACAGAGAAACCCCTTGTGCCCGTTGGATAAGGATGGAAAGGAGCACAGTGGTAGACTGGCTGCCCACAAAGTTTTCAGAAGGGATCGTTTACCCACCAAAGCAGAAGGGCCTTCATCCCTCTGGATTTCATCATAGGGCAGGATTGAACTAATTCTGTTACCTGGTACAACTCTGGCAGAGAACCCCACATTTATTGGCCCATATCAGGAGAGGGGCAGCATTTCCTGTAGATAAATAAGGAGATATTTGGAACAACTAGGGTGGAGACAGAGTTTGGACAATAACCAATACAATCTGCTTTTTTGCTGGTTCTTGTTTCACGAGCCTCATAAATGTCGGTCTAGCTCAGGTTTCATCTTCTTTCTTTTCTTCTTAGGCTGGCATGTAAGGGCTTCATATGATGGTTCCCAAATTAACTTTCCACACTACTCACCCTCTACCTTTATACATTATGCTTTGGCCACGGTGGGTTTGTGTACCTTCCTCAGGCATATTATACTTTTTTATGCCTCTGGGTATTTGGATATGGCAGGAAACCCTTTCCCTCCCTCTATCTGTCTGGCACGTTCATACTCAAATTTTTAAACCCAGCTCAAAATTACCCATTACATAAAATTTTTCCTGACTGTCCTTTCTTTGCCACCCTGGTGCCTTTTCATTTGTCCGTTGCAGTGTGTGTCACAACATGCGGATCCTATTGGATAGGGGTCTGTCTTCCCCCGGGCTGTGTTCCAGTCTTTTTGGTGACTAGCGTGGAGGCTAGCATCATGGGTCACACGGAGATTACACTTGGGTATTTTTTGAGTTATGTTGAAAATGGTTTTAAGATATTTAGGCTTTTCAGGGTTGATATCTCATTGCTTTTGGAGCTAAACAATAGGGCAAAGAGAAAAAGAATTTCAAAACAATGTATAGACCAGGAAATAAGAGATTTATCTTTTCTTTAAAGGAGAAACAGCAATCTTCTGCAGTTTCTTAATCCTACTGAAAAACCACAAGGTGTTACAGTAAATTAATAAGATCAATCTAATAAGAAAAACCTGGATTTACCTTCTTCATTCTAACTGTGCCATTGCTCAAAGCATTTTTTTTTTTAAAGATACAGTCTCTGTCTCGTCGTAGAGTGCAGTGGTGTCATTGTAGCTCACAGCAACCTCAAACTCTTGGGCACAGGTGATCCTTCTGCTTCAGCCTCCCAAGTAGCTGGGACTACAGGTGTGTGCTGTGACTCTTAGCTATTTTTTCTAATTTTTGTAGAGATGGGATCTTACTCTTGCTGAGGCTGGTCTCAAACTCATGAGCTCAGGAGCTCCTCTGGCCTCTGCCTCCCAGAATGCTAGTATTGTAGGCGTGAGTGACTACCTGGCCCTCTAGCCGTTTTGAGTCAGATTGGGAGATAATTCTTACCTTCAGGAAACCATGGAGAATGTTTTTAACAAGCCTTAGGTGATTTATTGTGTTTGTACATAGATGCTGATGCCTTTAGAAGTTTTCTAAGCAGGGGCTAAATGACCTATGGTCCTATTTAAAAATATTTACACATTTACTGTTATGCTCTTTCTACCCCTTTCATCTGTGAGCACTTACCATGTGCCACATGTATGCTACCTTTGGAATGAATTATCACCATTTTACAGGTACAAGAAAGAATGATTTCAGAGCACTGTCATGTGTTGCCCAAGTTCAGCAAGCAGTGATGGGGGCTATATTTAGACCCATGTCATTTCACCTTCAAAGCTCACATTCTTTCTTCTTTTCTATATTGCTGGAATTAAACTTGGCTTTAGATGTCTTTCTCTACCATTTTGTTTACATGGCGAATAGGCACTGAGTGAAAAGTTGAGTGATGCTGTGATTAAAATACGCAAGACAGCAAGCTTCTAGTGTCTTTGTTCAGAGATCTGTTTTGTTTGCTTCCTTGTTCTCCAGCTATATTTTGGAAAGGTGAACACATAAGTGAGATTTTGTGGATGCTAACAATTTTCTGACCCTTGGAAATTTTTCTTTTATTGATTGGCAGTTGTATTTTATGTTGTTTAAAAAAAAAAATTTGTTTTGGAAAATTTCAAACAAACAAGAGACTAGTATAATGAACCTCTAATGTACCTATTGCCTACCTTCAACATTTCTCAGCATCTTGCCAGAATTATCTCATCTGTTCATCTCATGTCATTGTCACACCAAACAAAGTTGAAAATAAGTCCCTGGGTTTTAAGGCTTTTTTTATTCACAGGATATATTTAGGTGTATTCCATTGGCAATCATGGAGCAAATGAGGGAGTTGCAGCTCTTACAGCTAAGGAAGTGAGAATCTTTATTCCAACCACTTATCAGGACTTCAAGGGTATTTCTTTTTTTTAATTCATTAAATTTTTTGAAGTCTCACTATGTTGCCCAGGCTGGTCTCCAACTCCTGGCCTTAAGCAATCCTTTCACCTTGGCCTCCCAAAGTGCTGGGATTACAGGCATGAGCTTCTTAAATGTCTATCTTAGAGGAGCTCTAAGAACATACTTTATACATGTATTATTCTGTTCCTTATTATAACTTTTTTTGTAAAGGAAAAATAGTAACATAAACATAAGTTGTAAAGATTTCCTTAACCAAGCCTCCCTAGCACTTCTCTCCCAGTACCATTTCCCTTGCAGAAGATCCTAGGAATATTTCTGAAGTTCTATAGCTGATTTGAATATTTGCAAGAGAGTAAATAAATAACTAATAAATGCTTAAGATTGTATATAAATCATGACTTTGTTTAAATGGCTATACTAGTTATCAGTAGTTACTTTGTAAAATGCACAATGTGCATTCGGTTACTAGCAGAAGTAACCTCTGACACTGGTTTCTGCATATTGGTTAGCGATCCCCCCCACACACACTTGGAACTTGGTCAGTTCATCTAGCTGAGGTACGGACAAAATAGGGAAACCGGTTGGTGATTATCTTTTGGTTACTGTTAAAAATGAAAATTCACTGGTATTGAGATTATTCACATCTTCCATGCTATCCATTTATATACTGAGATAAGGAGAGGTTATTAATGGGTGACTTAAGATTTAGATGGAAAACATTTTTGTTGTTTTAGGTCTACCTGGTAATCAGTAATTAATAGCAGAGTGATTTAAGTTGCTTAAATCACTTAAGATGATGTTCTGTAGATGTGTTTGTAATGAACAAAATTTTATATACATTGAACCTTATTTGGGACCCTCGCTTACCTCTTTGAGGGTTTGGAAGTGTATAAAGTGTCAGATTTTCTGTTTGGTATTAAGTGTCTTTATATCTCCATGACGACCTGTGAAGAAAGTAATGGCTTTACTCATATTTTATGTGAGGGTCCAGAGGGTCAGTGAGATTTAAACAGGTCCAAGGAGAAACAGCACAACCAGTCTTGGCAAGAGTATCTGACACCAGTGCCACATGATCTATAAATGGAGGAATGAAGACAATTATGAAAGAAAAATAGAAACTTCTAAGAAGTAGGAGAGAAATTGTAATATTAGGGTAAAATTATTTTCGTACCTGAAACTTAATATCTTCTGTAGGCCATAAATAGCTTTTGATATTCACCACAATCCTGTCAGATACTATGGCAGAGATTATTCTCACTTTACAGGTGAGGGCACTGAGGGCTGAGGAGAGATACATGCCCAGAGTCACAAAGCTATTATCATCAGCACTAGGTTAAGGAAAAAACCCAGGTCTTCTGACCCTCTTTCAGGGGCCTGTTTCTAAGCTTATAGTGGAGGGCAGTTCTAACAGTGGTTCTCAACTCTGCTTGCATTATTTTTCCTAGAGAGCTTTGGAAAAATACTAATGTCTGAGCCACATCCTCAAGGATCCTCATTTAATGAGTCTCAGGTGAGACTTGGTCTTGGGTGTACCCGTGATTCTATCTTGCAGTCAGGATTAAGAGCCACCCCTTCGATAGAAACTCTGGAAGAATGAAGGTTAAGAAACCTGAGGGCTTAGACCAGTTGCGCTACTATTGTGGTACTTGGGGCAAGATTGCTTGCGTAAAGATAGAGATTCATATTCTGTCTGCCTGAGGGTTATTGAAAATGTAAGGAGAGAATTTTTTTTAGGGAACTCATTGAAAATATTAAAAAATACCAGAAAAATATAACTTAATCAATGATTGTTGTTTTCACAGGGGAGACATCAAGATAAGATTTTGTTTAGTTTTTAGTTTATCCAAAATAGCTATCACTGCTGTCTGTGCATATAATGAAATAACACTGAAGTTTATTTGATTTCTAATTGAGTTCCTTTTATGAATTGCAGGACAATATGCAAATTTAAATCAAAGCTAGTGACTAAAACGGCAATAGGATAAAATTGAAAGTTGCTACCTTCATTCCTGGTAACTGTCATAGTACTTGTCACAAAGTAGGTTCCCATCAAATTTTAAACAGATTTAATATGCTGAGCATATTCTATGAAGTTTCATAAAGCTATTGGAACATGTTAGTATCATTTTATGATATGTAAATTTTGAATTAATACTTTTTATAATTGTTAATTATAGGCTTTTTCTCAACATCTTTTCTCTTGTAGGACCTATATATAAATCAGTGTTTTATTTAGAAGGAACATTTTACAATGATAACAGATACGTGGAATGCAGAGATTTAAGCAGGTATAGTTTCTAAAAATTTTCTTAAACTATTTCTACTTCTCAAAGTAGTGATATCTCCACAAATCCTATTATTGGTCTTTTAAGGATGTTTGCAAGGAATTTTTTGTAGATCTTGTATTGAGCATTACATACATCTAACAAAAATTAAATTAGACGTAGTGGTGCATGCCTATAAATGCCAGCTGCTCAGGAGGCTGAGGCAGGAGGATCTTTTGAGGCCAGGAGTTTGAGGCTGTTTGATCACGCCTGTGAATAGCCACTGCACTCTAGTGCAGGTAACATAGTGAGACCCTGTCTCTAAAAAGATAAATAAAACAAAAAAATTTTAATCTTTATTCTAATGCAGCAGTTCTCAAACTTTTTAGTCTCAACTCTCTCTCCTTCATATAATTAAATAATTGAGGGCCCCAAAGAACTATCACATATGTGGGTTGTAGCTATTGATATTTATCATATTAGAGATTGAAACTAAGGAATATTTGAAGTATTAATTTAAATAATCTCATTACATGTTAATGTTTTTGTGAAAAATACCTGTTTTCAAAAATATGCAAGAAATTGTTACATATTTTGCATTCAAGCTGAAATGATAAACATCATGTCACCTCCAGAAAACCGGTCGCTTATGAGAGGATAAGAATTGAACAAGGCAGGTCACAGCTGAGTATTACCGTGAAGGCAATTTTGACCCCAGGGAGCATACTTTGAGAATTGTCACTCTAATAGATGAAGAAAAATTCAGTGTCCTCTTATCCCAATATGTATGAGACACTATGGTCTTCATCTCAAGATGGCAACTGTTCAGTGAGTTGGGTGAGCCAGGTTGTATGAATCACAAACCCTTTTCTGTGGTTTTTAAGTTTTTGTGGGACAATGTTATATCCTTGCCTTTTTCCTTTTTCCTCCCACAGGACTATCATTGAGTGGTGAGAGTGCCATGACAGAGGCTGTGGAAAGTTTCAGACTGCCAGAATGGAAGATTTCACCTGTGGTGACGTGCATATTAAACTAGGCTTTCCTTACTTGCCCTGGCACCAGGGAGACTGTGAGCATGTTGTCATTACTGACAAAAAGTAGTCATCGTTGCAACTTGGCTTGGGAATGGCAAAAATAAGTGTCTGCTTTCCATGCAATTAGCAACTCTCTGTATCCATTTGCATCCTCTATTCATTTTTTGGGATATCTTTAAGAAATACTTTACTATTTATTAGAGGGTTAAAATCTGTAAATACTTTTAAAAGTATCTCCATTTTTATATTAAACAGCTGTTATTCAGGTACTAGTCACCCACTGTGTATATAATACAGGTTCTTTGCTTTACCTGTTTGCAACTGTGTTTCTAGGCTTGTCTTTTTGGCAAAATTTGAAGGAGATAACAAAGAACTAGGGAAAGAGAAGAGTAATTTTAATATTTGACAAGTGTGAAGTCTTAATTCTTTGATAGAAAGCTTTAAATTGGGAAGGAGCTAAGATAGTCTAGAATAAGATTTGTGGATTAATTAGTAACCAGTCTCCACAATTTTATATCCATGCACTGCTTCTCAGAGAGCTATGAGAAGAAGTAGAAGCACTTCACCCAAAGAGTAAAACCGGGAACAAGAAAGACATGGGACACCACACAGAGTAGATTAAACAGACACAAAGGGGATCTGAGGATGATGGGAAAGGGAAATCCTGATATGAGAACTGTCTACAGACCTGGAGAATAGTTTAATGCAGAGACGAGCCAGGAGCACAGAGAGTGCAGAGCCCCTGCCGCCAGTGCGTGGTGGCCCGACTCTCTGAGGGTCCTTTCCTCCCGTTGCTGCTGGGCCTGAGCGCAGTGTCCCCCACGCTCCCGCCTCAGCCTGCAGCCGGGAACCTGCCTCTGTGAAGTTCAAGGCCCTCTCTAGGCGCTCTTTTTAGCACTTTGCACAGGACGGGTATGTTAGCCTGCCCAGCACAGCTGATGGCAAAACAAAGCGAGATGCTCTGGAGGGCCCTGGCAGCTCGCAGGATGACGGGTGTGTTTATTCTGAGATGCCTGGGGTACTTGCCATGCCCGCTTTTTAAATTTTCTAAACCAAAGTCGAGCAGGCTCAAGCCCCAGCCACCTAGATTACTGGGAGGGCCAAAAGTACACTTTACCTGCCTCGCCCTCCCCGGCATCCTCACTCCAGCCACGGCTTCTGCAGGCCAAGGTCGCTGGCGGGGCCTCAAAATGTGGAGAGTCGTCATAATCCATTCAAGGGCTGCTTGGTTGAGTGCCCCTAATTGTCGCTCCTGCACCCTGTCATTGCTCCTGCGGGGCCTGCCTGTTCCTCTGACCCCAGGGTCCATCAGCCGCCAGCTGCCAATCCCCTCGGCACCCAAACTTCACCCACAGACACACAGCCCTTGCCTAGGCCACCTCACGCCATGTGGGGGGAGCGTGGGGCCCTTCCTCAGTCCTCCCCTGGGTCTCTGTGGTGGAGTCCCTCCTGCCCTGCAGATGTGGGCAAGACAGTCCCCACTTCATATGTCCTGGAGGCCCAGAAGCAGCAATGAGGGCCCAGTGACACCCTAAGTTCCTGTGGCCCTGATTTGTGGGGTCTGAGCTGTGTCTTGATCACTTTCCCCCCACCCAGCCCTGCACCTGCCCCCGCCTTTGCGCGTGAAGGTGGCGCCTCTTCCCCTGTCTTCCCCACTGCAGGCAGGAGGCAGGGATGTTGGAAGCTGCAGTGAACTTGGCAAGACTGAGTGGGAATGAGGACTGCGCTCCAAGGTGCCCTTCCCCAGATGGGCTGGAGCCTCCCCTCAGATGTTAGGGTGTCCTGTCTGGTACCTGCTTGCGCAGCACTATCCCCCAGGCATTAACTCCGTGCGACAGCCTGGAGCCCTGGGGGGTGGCCGTGTTACTGTAAGTCACGGGGGTTGGGGGGGTGCGCTGACTTGCTGGTGGAGGGCGGGGGCACCAACCACGTCTCCCTTCCCAGCTCCACCCACTCTATTCTAAGGCTGGGTCTGCAGCCATCCTTCCCCCAGTGCAAACAGCTGACCTGGAAGGTTCTTGAAGCAAGTCCAGATGCCCGTTCTGAAGCACTGCAGCATCTGCCGCCGTCCCACAGATCTCCCTGCCTGAGGTCCTCCTTCCAGAGTTGCCCCCTTCTGCAGGGAGCCACACCCGGGACTTGTGGTTCTCAAAGCTGGGGGCCCCAAGGTCAAATTACTTTCCTGATAATGCTAAGGTGATATTTGCCTTGTCACTTTCATTCTCTCACAGAGTACACAGTGTTCATTGATAACGTTTCAGATTCCTTATTACAACTAACCTTTAAGAAACTACCTCTTGTCAAGTTTTGGTATAGTATCAAAGAGGAACATCCATAATTATGTAAAGTCATTGAAATATTACTTCCCTTCCCAACCCTGTACCTGTGCGAGGCCAGAATTCATCTATATGCTTCAACCAAAACAAAACAAAAAAACCAGATCAAACAGAAAAGCAGATGAGAATCTTCCTGTATTCTACAAGCTACACATTAAAGAGATTTACAAAATTGTAAGTTTTTTTGAAAATATAGTCCTCCCTTAGTATGCTCGAGGGGTTGGTTCCAGGACCCCCTTCCACCTCGAGGACACCAAAATCTCCAGATGCTGGAGTTCCCTGTCTGTCCTGTGAGTCAACCAACCGCAGAGCGACGGCGGCACCCCTGGGTGCAGACCGGGGTGCAGAGGGCGACCGTGTGATGACTTTTGATGGAAATGTATCATTTACGTTAAAATGTGATGCTTTTATTGTCATTTTCAAATGTTAATAAATATTTCTACAATTTCTTAGGTTTTGTTTCTAATAATAACCCACATATACAAAAGCTCTTTGGAGTCCTCAGTAGTTTTAAGAGCATAAGGGGGTCTTCAGATTTAAAAGTTTGAGAACCACCATACTAGACAAAAGTCAAATGCCTCTCTCCTAGGGCAGGAGTTTTGTTCCAGAAGATACCAATTTAGGACAGTCCATGAGTGTTGCAAAGGTGGTGCCCTGCCCTCTGGCCGCCCCAGTGCTTGAGCCGGGGCCTGTCCAAGGCATGGGCAGGAGGGTGTGCTCAGGCCCAGGACACTGGTGTCAGGGACCACGGGAGTGGACCCTGCGTTCTCCACGAAGGGCTTCAGGGTCTAAGACTGGGCTGTATGAGTTTTCCTTACTGTGTCTCCTCAGCATTTTCTTGGGTATCACAGAAAAACCCTAATAAGGACTACCATCAGATTCCTGTAGGAGCTTCCAAGCTCCTCATCCTGGGACAGTTGTAGCGCTCCAATCGGCAGGGACTCCGGAGACAGGCTCAGCTCCACACTCTGGGTCACAGCCACTGTCTCAAAAACCTGTTGCCTCCAACTCCAGGGCTATAAGGTGAGGCACTAGCAGAAGCCCTCATGCCCCTCCCTGGTTCATGGCATTTTACTCAGGCTTGGTAATGTTTCCATTCTCTTATGCGGCTGTAATTTTTCCAGATGTTTAATTGTGCTTCAGTATTTAAGTGGATCAATTCAGTGCTCAGGGCTATACTTTCCCCATTCTGGAGTTTCTTATTTTGATTAATCTCTTGATTGGCTGCATTTCATCATTAAGTAGTTTTTCCCAGAAGGCTCATGACTGCTGTATACCTTGAGATAGTTCGCACTTGAGAAGATCTCTCTGTTGCCTTTATACTCAAATGATGACTTTTCTGGGTCTAGTAGTGTGGGGTCACTCTTCTTAAAAGTGCATGAACATTGATGAGTTGATGCCTGCCGACATGAAATGCTGTGGTGGAGGAGTCTGAGGCCAGCCTGGTTTTTACAGATAACTTGTTTTTTCTGGTTGGATACCTGAAAACATCTTTCTTCATCCTCAAAGTTCAATACCTTAGCCAGAATGGGTCTCATTGCCTATTGCTCTATATCAGACTTCCTTGTCATGTTTTTTCTTTCTTTCTTTGGTTTCTTTCTACCTGGTATGTTTTTTAAAAATCTATTAAAATTAATTTTCTTTAATTTTAGGGAAATTCTCCAATATTTTGTGTTTGATTGTTTTTTTTTCCTGTTAGATTTTCTTTTCTTTTCTTTTTTTTTTTTTGAGACAGAGTCTCACTTTGTTGCCCAGGGTAGAGTGAGTGCTGTGGCGTCAGCCTAGCTCACAGCAACCTCAGACTCCTGGGTTCAAGCAATCCTGCTGCCTCAGCCTCCCGAGTAGCTGGGACTACAGGCATGTGCCACCATGCCCGGCTACTTCTTTCTATATATATTAGTTGGACAATTAATTTCTTTTCTATTTATAGTAAAGACGGGGGTCTCGCTCTTGCTCAGGCTGGTTTCGAACTCCTGACCTCAAGTAATCTGCCCGCCTTGGCCTCCCAGAGTGCTAGGATTACAGGCGTGAGCCACCGCACCCAGCCATCCTGTTGGATTTTCGATGTGAAGAATATGCTTACACTATTGTTTTGTCTTCTGTAAGTCTTTGTCCTCTCCTTTTGCGTGCACTGTGATTATCTCACAGATTTCCTCCATGTCATCAATTTCATCTTCAGCTGCATTGGCTCCGTTTCTTGCTGTTTTATAATACATTAGATGTGCCATGTTAATCTTGAGTTCTCAGTTTGTCACCATCCCGTCTTGAGCTGCCATTGACCATGCTCTCTTGGAGTCACCGCCTTACTGAGCCACGGTCTTGTAAGTTCTTCCATAGGGAGAAGCATCTGGGAAAGACTGTTTTCTGCCTTGGATTGAGCTTCTTCCATACTTGTTTTTACACTTGTCTTTTTTGTTTTGTTGTTTTAACATCGCCAGTATCTTTCATTGCAGATTAAAAAGAAATTCAGGATCCAATCAAGGATCACATATTGCATTTAGTCAACTTCACTTGCTATAACAAAATCTCATAGACTGGGTGGCTTAAACAACAGAAGTTTATTTTCTTGTAGTTCTGGAGGCTGGAAAATCCAAGATCGGGGTGCCAGCATGGTCATTTCCCGGTGAGGGCTCTTCCTGGCTTGCCACCTTCTTCCTGTGTCTTCACATGGCAGAGAGAGAGAGAGAGAGTGCAAGTGCTTTCTGCCATCGCTTTTTATAAGGACATCCCGTCATGAGGGCCCCACCCTTGTGACCTCAGCTAACCCTAACCACCTCCCAAAGGCCCCATCTCTAAGTACCATCACATGGGGGGTTAGGGCTTCAACGTAGGAATTTTGGGGAGGACACGCTACAGCAGCCTCCTTTAACCTAGAAGTCTTCTTCAACTTTTTTTTTTTTTTTGTCTTTCATGACATGGCATTTTTGCTTCCTTTTAGTGCCCTTGAGTTATGGTTGCATAACTGCCAACTGGTTTATTTTCATCTTGTTCGTGGTTAGTTCAGGCGGCTTTGACTCGGCCTTCTATTTGCTCTGATGTCAGGTGGGAGCATTTCCTGACACTCTTCCCATCTCACCTGAAGGTATTTATCTTCCCCTTTGTATCAGTTTGGACTAGATTTAGCTGCATATATAAGGAAAAAATATGCAAAACAAGATAGAGGTTTGTGTCCCCTAAAAGAAGCCTAGAGGGAAGCGCATGGTGCTGTTCGCCAGCGTCTGGGCCAGGCTCCTGTCTCTGCCCCGCTCAGACCCACTCACTTCTCACGGCATGTGGTCCTGTCCAGGCCCAGCTTCCCCAGAGTTCTGGGTGGCCACACTTTCTGGAGCCGTTTACAAGAGGAGGCTTAGAGGGAAGAACCACACCCTCCCTGGCTGCTGCAGATGTACCTGAAACTCATCGTCCTCCTTCCCTGAACCACCTAGACATTCTGACAGTAGCACACTGGCCCACCGTGCTGAGCATGTGTTAATCGGAGCAGATGAGCAAGGGCGATGCTTGTTAAGACACATGCACTCCAGAGCACTGGGGAAAACCCCTGCAAAAAATCAGGAGCCTCCACATGAATATGTTTTTATGGGTCCAGTGACCTGGCACGCCGGGAAATCCTTCCCAAAGTAAAAGGTAAGGTAATGCAGCTGCCACCTCCAACCACCAGGAGGAAGCACTGCGCTTGCTAGGCCTCTGTGGGATTTGGAAGCAGCATATTCCTCACTTGGGAATGGGCAATTGATCCATTTCTCAGGTCACATGGAAGATTGCTAGGTTTCAATTGAGCTAAGAGCAGAAAGAGCTCTGCAGCTGTCCAGGCTGCGGTAGGGGAGCAGTGCAGCTTGTGCCGTTCCACTCTGCAGATGCACCGAACTAGACACGTCTGGGCCGGGAAAGATGCCATGTGCAGCTTCTGCCGAGCTCTGGCAGGAGAGTCACAGTGCAGACCCCTGGGGTTCTGGGGAAAGTCTGTGCCTCATGCAGCGGAGAACTAGGGATCATTCAAAAAGCAGCCCTGATGTGCCTCTGGCTCTGGTAGAAACTGTCTGTCCAGTGAGACATCCCGCGTCCAATGGTCAGAACTTCCCATAAGGAGCCACCTGCCAGACCCTCCAACCCTTCAGATCAGGTGGGCCCAGCATCAGTCCACCGTGGGACAGCAGTGGCACATTGCGGATACGGCACAGCAGGCCCAGAGGCACAAATGGGTTGCACAAGCAGTCGGCCCAAGCTCCATGTTACCTGCCACTATGACACCAGCATCTGTCCCAAGACACCTGTTGTCTCCTAGGGGGAGGAGGAAGATGACCAGTATCAGGTACAGCCTTGGGACATCTGTGGCAGCCAAGGCTCAGGTCCCTTTGAACTACCTGGTGACAACGGAGCAGGAGAATCAACACTACTCAGGGAAGATCATGAATGGTACTGCTGCCCCGCCCGGGAGTTTTCCATTGCAGGGCTGCAGCATGTCAGGGACGGTCAGAATCCCACCCACCACTTGGGAGGTATCCTCACTGCCAAGTTCCTAGAAGCACAGCCTGTAATGGGGATTCTTGAAAAAGTAATTTATTACAGTGTGCTGTAAGGAGAAGAGAGTGAGGAAAGTAGGAGAGGGCAAAGGAAGAAAGGAAGCATGGCTCTGGTTTGGGGTGGAGTCTAGCTTCACTCTCGTCCTATGGAAACCTTAGAGTAAAAATAGCATCAGAGTTGGTCCAGGCTTGAGGCAAGGGGTGGGCTTTTATCCCTCAGGGTGAGTCAGTCTCTGGCTGCTGATATCTCAGACAAGGCAGTAGCTGCTCCGCCAAGGCAATTCGCTGGAGAGGAGGTGAGCTGTGAGCTCTAGCAGTCAACACTCCCAGCACTTGCAATTATTAGAGAATCAGAAGATGTGTGAGACAGACGGAGACCAGCACAGTATCTAGATGCTAATAGTGATGGTGAAATGAGTCAGATGAAATAAATCTCAGTGACTGTTCAGATGACCATATTTCTAGATGGATGTTCTCAAATCCAAGCATCAATGAGTGAATAATATACTTCTAGAGACAAAAGAAAATACAGATACAACAAAGTCATTAAAATGTTAGTTAACTTTAAAATGAAGAAATAGTTTTCATTTTTTGAAATTATTAAGTGTATAGTGTGGGGCGCGGTGTCAACGCCATTGCAAGAGGCGGGCGCGACAAGTGGTGCTGAAACCCGGGAACCGAAACAACTTTGAGGCACCAGCGGAGACGACCTCGATAGAGGTGAGTTCAGAACTGACGCGTGGGACGGAACCGAATTCGGACCTTTGCTGACCATCAAGATAGTACCTCAGAGTCAGACAAAGGGAGAAGGCCTGGAAAAAAGAAAAGGGAGAGAAAGAAACGTAAAGGTACCAAAAATAAAAATGACAAAGGAAAGGACAGGACAGAAGACACAGAAGACAGAGGAGATAGCCTTTTTCTGTCAGAATTTAAGAAATTAGATATTTCTGAGGATGGTTCCTCTTCTTCCTCTTCTCTTACTTATGGTGTCTCCTTAGGATGCGAGCCCAGAGACGGAGAGACAATGTTATAATGGCGCAAGCCTTTGCTGCTATGGAACTGGGACTGTCAACACAGGTGTGGTTGACCATGCTTAACCGGTAGCCTCTGTATGGGTTGCACTCGCCCTCGTTCCTCCTTGTTTCTTAGACATGGCCTTTGCACTCTGTGGGATTACCCCATTGCACCAGAGAAGGCATGTCTCTGACCCTAGCGCCAGCCTTTGCACACCTCGGAGTTTTCCTCATTGCACGAGATAAGGTGGCCATTGGGTAGATGAGACTCTGCGACTTTGATCGTACTGTCGAAGGGTGGTGCTGATTGGTTGCTCAGTTCTCATTAATTAATAAAACGGGGAGATGTGGGGCGCGGTGTCAACGCCATTGCAAGATGGCGCCGACTTCCTGGTCACACCCATACCACAAGACTGATAAACAGGGTGAACCGCGCATGTGTAGGGGCTTTTTCCTGTCTCTCATCAAGTATGCTAATGAGGGCTCTTGCGTGAGCCAATCAGATTCTGCCTAATGTACTTAGTGCCTATATAAGCCCGCTCCGAGAGCTCCTCGGGGTCTTCCGCTTTAGTCACCTTCAGATTCCCCAATAAAGCGCTGTCAGAAGAACTCCGGTTGCCGCGTCTTCCTTGCTGGCGAGGCGGGCGCGACAGTATAGTAGTTAGAGTTTTACAAAAGAATGTACATTTTTAAGTTTATCTAATTTAAGTTTCTTGAATGTGGCCTTATTTGATTATAGCTACGTTAATGCAATCTTCCAACATGAAAAGTTTCCCCACCCTGGTATTGCCTATTGCTTTTAAGCTACAAACCTGTCCAGCATATTACTGAGTACTGAGTACAGCATATTACTACAGAGTACTGTAGGCAACTGTAACACAGTACTAAGTGTATATCTGAACACATCCAAATGTAGAAGAGGTACAGTAAAAATACAGTATTATAATCTCATGGGCCTGCCATCGTATATGCAGCTGGTTGTTGACTACACCATCCTCATGCAGCCCATGAGTGTGTGCTCGCAGGCAAGAATGAATGGGAGCTTGTGCGCGGGCAGGGGCTGGCCTGG